CCATTTAGCGTAACCCAGAGGACACCACGTGGAGGCGGTTCTAGTTATCCTCCAAAAATATTTATATTTTGAACTGCATATATATTTCCTTATTCATATTTTATAATTAGAAAAATTAATTTTCATCGTTATACTATTAAAATTATTAAAGTTGATATTATTATGTTGATTATTTTTTGATGGAGTAATAATGTGAAACGGTTTTTATATATTGAAACGTAGTAATTTTTTGTTCTTTATAATTTTCTATTAGCTAGTTTAATAATTGTTGACGTCTTTTTAACTTATTATTATTGCAACTATTTGGTTTGTGTATGCTTTGTAATTTTATGTAAATTTCTGATTGAATATTTTTTAGTGTATTAATAAACATAAAAATATTTGGATGGCTATAGTTAAAATGTGATTTAAAATGAGCATAGAATGATTCACAAGCATTTGTGGATTTTGTTAATTCGGAAGATGCTTCTGCCCAGACTGTAGGTGGAAAAATTGCTATATTGCTTCAAATATGGACTAACATAGTTTTTGTACTGACCTCTTGAATTATCAACCATCAAAAATTATAAAATTTAATTCAATATCAGTAATTCATAGCCAAAATGAAATCAATGTAAAGTATAAGAGACCATGAAATGTTTACTCATAATGGTTATTTGTATGATATTTTTCTAATTATAAAATATGAATAAAGAAATATATATGCAATTAAAAATACCAATATTTTTGGAGGATAACCAGCCTCTACGTGGAGTCTTCTGGGTTACTCTAAATGGTTCTAATTTTACTAGGGAAATTTACATTAGTGTAATACGGCAGCAAAATGTTTTCAAGAGAATTTACAATATTTTAGGGGAATTTACATGTGCCCGTATGTACATGCTAATATAATCCCAAAACAAGGATTCTCACTTGCCATGATTATAGTCCTAGATCCGAAATTATACTACTATAAAACAATGATTAATTTTTAATTACATAAAATTGTAATTTATTTTTAGGTGTACGGTGTATTAAAGAAAAATAATAAATTTCAAGTAACTCATTTAACCTTATCCAAGTATTGTAAGGAAAATGGAATGAAAAAATAACTCCAGAAATAAAAATGAATTCATTATTCAAAATCAAAATACAGTGAAAACTGTCTAAAGTGGACTCTGAATAAAACGGAAAACTATCAAATACGAAATTTTTCTATGGTTCCGGCACGTTTCTATAATTTTATGTAGACGCTGAACTTCAATAAAACGGAACCTTCTTAACGCGGAAACGGAACGATTTTGTAAGTCCCATGCAAGTAAAAACCTTGCATAAAACGGAAAAATGACACACGCGTATGTACTATAAACCAAAAATAAGGTATAAAATCTTGATAGGCGTATGTACAATGTACATCGTTTACAATAGTGATAGATAAAGAAGATAAAATTCTTCTATACATATTCGTAAAATATATGTACATACAATGCATATTATCGCATAAACGATACGAACTTTCTTCTTTGTAACTGTGAAACAGTGATGGCCTTAGATAAGGCCAATCTTTTTGGAGAACACCTCTCGAATATTTTCAAACCTCACCTTGATATTACTCCAAGTACCACACAACTAGCCAAAATAAATGATTTTCTTGATGCTCCACTACCAATGTCTCTCCCTATTAAACATGTCTCCCCATATGAAGTTGCTAACTTGATCCAAAGATTGAAGCCCAACAAATCCCCAGGTCATGACTTAATAACAAATAAGATTTTAAAATATCTCCCCAAAAAAACAATCCTTTTGCTAACTTTCTTATTTAATTCCATGTTAAGATTGTCTTATTTCCCTACCATCTGGAAATTATCAATTGTTATCCTCATACTTAAACCAGGAAAACCAACCAATATTGCAACCTCATATAGACCCATTAGTCTACTCCCAGTGATTGGTAAGCTATTCGAGAAGATTATTTTAAAAAGACTTAGACCAATAATTGAATCACATAAAATTATTCCCGACGCTCAGTTTGGTTTTCGAGCACACCACTCCACTATACAACAGGTTCACAGACTAGTCGACAAAATTTCTTCCTCCTTCGAAAATAAAAACTATTGCCCGGCAGTCTTCCTAGATGTTGCTCAAGCCTTTGACAGGGTTTGGCACAATGGCTTACTATATAAACTGAAACTATTCCTCCCTGCTCCACTTTACTTACTAATTCGCTCTTACCTTGAAAATAGAACCTTTAAAGTTCGTCAAGGCAATTCTTTTTCTTCTGTCTTTCCAATCCTAGCAGGTGTTCCTCAAGGAAGCGATCTCTCTCCTGATCTCTACAATATTTTCTCTTCTGACATACCTCAAACCAATGACACCATCATAGCTACCTATGCTGATGACACAGCGATCCTATCATCCAATAAGAATCCAACCGTAGCATTCAACGCCCTTCAAAACCACCTAGATCTTATAGATAAATGGTCCTCTAATTGGAAAATTAAAATTAATGCCGCCAAATCTGTTCATGTTCCTTTCACTCTAAATAAAAAAAATCTACCCACTCCCACCCTCCATGAAATTCCTATTCCCTCCTCATCTCAAGTAAAATACCTTGGTATTATTTTAGACAAACGTTTAACCTGGGGCCCTCACCTTAAAAACAAAAGAAAGTCACTCAATTCTAGACTACACCTATTACGTCCCTTACTAAAATCTAAACTTCCACTTCATAATAAATTAATTTTATATAAAGCAATGCTACGTCCAATCTGGACATATGGTGCACAAATATGGGGTTGTGCCAAACCATCACAATTAAAAACTATCGAAGCCTTCCAATCGATCTCTCTCCGTACAATCACGTCCGCTCCTTGGTATATTTCCAATCATACCCTCCACAAAGATTTAAACATAGAAGCAGTTGATAATTTAGTTAAAACTTACTACAAAAAGTTCCACTCAAAATTATTTCTCCATCCCAACCCACTTATCGCAAATCAACACACGGTATCAATCCCGGACAACCCCCCCCGTCGGCTCAAACGTCGTTGGTGTCGTGATCTTTTAGACTGAAAATGTGCTAGTTTAGCAGTCACGTCATGGGTCCTATCACTGGATAGGTTCCCAAATCGCTGTTTCTTGTCCGTCATATATTGTTAACATATTTGCTTATTGTATTTTTTTTTATATACAGATTGTAAATTTTATATATTTTAATAAAAAAAAAAAAAAAAAAAAAAAACTGTGAAACAGTCTTACATCAACAGTCGTACGTACACCTTTAATTTTATCTTCCGTTTATCATATTAAATATTAAAATGCCAAAATATAACGCAGAAGAAAAAATAGCAGCAACCGTAACAAAACAAAAAACTCTTCATCATTTTTGGAAATTCTAAATGTTTATACGTCATATTTATTTTGCCTTAGTGTGTAATATGTAATAAAAAACTTATATTCCAGTTTGAATTTAATGAATTGTAAAACCTATATTTTAGTTAAATTTTAATAAATTATATTATTTAAAACAATAATTTGAAAAATTATTCTTTGGTATTTATTTGAATTGAATAATCCGGAATTTTTCCGTTTTATTGAATAAAGCGAAAAACTGCTTAAAGCGTTGTTGGTCCCATGCAATTCTGCTTTAGACAGTTTTCACTGTACTATACTAGTTGGGTCCTGAATTATTTTAAGTATTATACTAGTTCCTGAATATTACTAGTTCCTAAATGACACATATATTTGAAAGGCACCATATAAGTTAAAAGTCTAAAGTCTGTGACTAAATTATCTGCAGCCTTAGTGTTGATCAGATCAAATTTTGTTTCCTACATTTACATTTTATGTTTATGTTAGCCATTTCCAAATGTTTTTAATACATTTTCCATTACTGAAAGAAAAAAAGAAAAAATAATCAATTTTACTGTAAAAAATATGATTATAGATTAATTTGATTATTAATAAAAACTTATTATACCTATGTATAATTATTAGCATTGGGTTTTTTTTTATTATAAAATATAAAAATTCTTAAAATAAGAAACTGAATGAAAACCGATTCATTAAAATTTCACACTCCAAGGTTTTGCATTTTCCACGGATATAAAGGTTATTACAGTATATACATATATTTTACGAATATGTATAGAACAATTTTATCTTCTTTATCTATCACTATTGTAAACCAGGGATTATTCTAAGAATTTTTATCAACTACGCATTTTGTTTAAATAAGCCTATCAAAATAGAACTATGATCTCAAAATATACTGTCAAATTATAGTTAAAAATGATAAAATGTGTAGCTTCTATGTGAAGTAATTTAAAATTTCATGTATTTAAAAGATATAAAATACTTTGAACACGAATGTAAATTGTTTAGTTTTTTTAAATTGTTTTTATTTGGAAAAATAGATACGCACTTGATAATAAACTTTTGCGTAATTGATTTTTAATTCATTGTTGCTTTGTGTTATTTTATACATTACAATAAACAATATTGAATTAAAAATCAATCACGCAAAAGCTTATTAACAAGTGCGCATCTACTTTTTCCAAATACGCTAAATAAGCCCAACTGCGCTTTAGAATAAGCCCTGTTGTAAACGATGTACATTGTTCATACGCCTATCTACATTTTATACCCTTATTTTTGGTTTAAAGTACACACGCGTGTGTCATTTTTCCGGTTTATGCAAGGTTTTTACTTGCATGGGACTTACAAAATCGTTACATAAACGAGTGTCACTATAAGATTCATGATAATCACCAAAAATATAGTATTAATCAAGGTAGAAGTAATACGCTTAAGTACCAAAAACAAACGTCCATTATTTGTCATCACTTAATTAGTTCCAAAGTTTTAAAATATCTATAGGTCAAATAGTAGTGTACTAGTATACATAAACACTAATTATAAGGGGGGATATAACCCCATTAGCTTCTCTCCCTTGGCTACGCCACTGTATATATATATATATATATATAGATATAGATATAGGTACTCGCTGATGTACCTACCAACAATTCATGTTTACTTCGTCGCCGCCGAGATGCAAATACTGATCTCGAAATAATTCATTGACTTCAGTCAACAACGTTTTAATAAAACTGTAATTCTCGTCAACCGTCGGATCGATGGGGCCAAAATAATTTGGATCAGTGTCTGAACACTGAGTCAATAAGCCTGGGATGCCACCGAGTCCCCAAGATAACGTGTGACCTGCAGTGAACAATCTCAGACAAATCAATATTGAACGTTTGAATAATAAAATTAAAACCATCAGCACGCGACTTACCAGGGCTGTCGATTTCTGGAATAACACGAATACCTCGTTGTCTAGCGTGTTCGATTACGAGTTTAATGTCGTTTGTCGAATAAATAGCTGACTGTCCGTAAGCACCTTTATCACTGTAAATTTATAATATAGAACAAAATTGATCATCAGTAAGTTACCAAAAGTATATTCACATTTAAAAGAAGGGAAACGTAAAATAAAATACTTGATAGCGTGCAAAAATTGTATTAGAAATATTAAAACACCTCGAATAATTCAGATTAATTTTCCCGAAAACGCAGTATAGACTTTATACAATAATTATTAAGCGACAGGAAATAAGCACCGTATAACTAAAGAACAAAAATATACTTCATTTCAGGACAGCAAGTAAAATAACTAATAGTTAAGACTTTCAAAGTTACTAATACTTCGACGGAACCATAGTAAAAAATATCACCAGTATTGATTAAATGTCGTATAAAATATTAATAATTATTTGATTAAAATTATAACCTTAAGCTCGGAAAAGCCTTGCTCTGGTACGGGAAACTATTATCGTCAATAATGTGCCAATGGAATACGTTCAGTTTTGAATACGACATGGCGTCTAACATGCTTATTATTGTTTGTACGGGTAGGTAGTGACGAGAGGTATCTAACAGCAATCCACGGTGCCTGAATTTAGGATAATCCGTTATCGATGTACATCTGATCACAAACTGTAAAAAAAAAAAAAAAATTATTAACTGTATATAAATTTAAAATAATACACATATTATACATAGTTACATTGACAGTTATTTAGTTATTGTATGAAATAATTTATAAGTACAATAATAATTCATAAACAGATTAATTAAAGTCAATGTAATTATTAAGTATTTTATACCGTCAAGCAGTATTTTTCAAAAATGATCAATTGGGAGAAAGACTCAAGACCTCTAAGTATACCCCAGATAGATTTTGCCATCAGAGTTCCGCCGGATTTACGAATTTTGATCTCATCTATTGAAAAAAAAACATAGTGCTATATTTAGTTTCATTTTACTTTACACACAAACAGTACTTAACATTTTTCATCCATGTTTAACGAAGGATAATCCTCGCAGGGGCTTAACAGTTTTACGTTTAACTTTTCCAACGTGCCGGCGATTTTATTCTTGGGCAATCTTCTAAGCCATTGAGAAGTTTTCTTGGCTTTTAAAAATAGCAAACCCTTATATCTCTTAAATGCTTCATGCAGTAAATCGCAGCTATAACCTGTCGACTAAAAAAATTATTTATTCTTAACACAACAGTATTACATACATATATCTATAAATTATTTGGACAGCTACTTATCGTTGTCACACTTTCCCATCTATCGAAGAATGTACGTAGCAGTGCGATTTTTTCTAATCAAAATATTTTTATGTTACATATGCGGGCCCGGATTAACACTATTGTAGACCCTAAACCCCTACATCTTGCAAGGCCGTTGTCCAGTATTCAAATGTTTAAGAAACGTTCTTTTCGGGAGAGGAAGTGTTGAATCTCATGCAGTGTTAATATTTTAAAAAACAATAATATATACAACATTAAAATCAAATCTAAATTTTTTATGATAACTATCGTACAGTTATTATACAGTTATATACAGTATATATTATACTAATCTAAACCAGAAAAGATGGTTTTCTTATTAAGTTTATCTACAAAATGGCAATGAGATAAAAGAAATCGAATAACATAAAAAAAAAATTAAAATAATTATAGGTATTTAACACCAGGGCATTAGTAATGGGCTTTAAATGGCCCGATAAATATATAAACGGAAATTAGAATTTATAAATAAATTTACCTATCACTCCTATTAGATCAGAGAGAACTTGTTATTCTATATAAAAATAATCCCGTCTTTTGCCAGCACTTTAGATGTTTAAATCCTTTAAATTGTAATAATATTTGTTAACATTATTACGTGTTTAAAATCAACGGCATTATTCGTAAACTGTACTCATCGGATTACTATTGACTTATTGTACTGAAATAAATGTATATGTATACGTATGGGTATAATAGTTGCTTTCAAGTTCTCAAAACGTATTTTTCGTGAAAACGGTCGAGAAAAACAATGCATTTAGTGTGTTGAACATTTATATGTAGGTTTGACCTCTTACGTTGAAATAAAAGTTTTCCTGTTCGAATTCCAAGTATACATTGTAACTGTTCTGAATCACAGGTTTTGGCCACACTTGGCCGTGGGTCATTTTTACCAGTGGTCTCCCATTTTGACTAAAACACTGTAGTGGCGCTACAATTAAAATAGTTAAAGTCACATAGACTGTACTCATTAAGTTAAAATACATTGTTAATTATTATAATTTGTATAAAAACATGTATAACATAATACTAGCCACACACCGTGTTCATTGATATTTAAATAATTAATGATAATTGTAATAATATTAATAAAAATGTACGCGCACTAAAATTATAACTCGTTACACGACGTACTGCCAGACGTGTCTGTGCGGTACCTACTGCGTAACTATTAACAAGTATCAGTAATAATATATGTTCGTAAACACATGACGTATGTTAGTCACAAAAAAAAATAATAAAAAATAAATTAAATAAGCTAATCAATAATAAACGTAGTTTCGAACACAAATTAATTATTAAATTACTTTGTACATTAATATATATATATATATAATTTTAAGAATAACATGCATATAAAAATATAACAATAAATATCATTGTATTATATTTAATTAATAAAAACATAATGATGGAAAAGCACAATAACAACAACTATTGGAGACATATAAAAGGCAAGAGAAATGGTCTACAAAAAACTTCTTGGGCAGTCTCCATAAACAGTGTTATGTCATGCGTCTCCATCAAGCATTTATAAAAGTCATAAGAAAAATATCAAAGTAATATTTATTTCATTAATTCTTACTCTTCTTGTACCAATCAACCACGTCAAAACGTGGTAAGAAAACATTTTATACAGAAAAACAAAATAATATTTTTTCCTATCACAGGGAAAGCTATTAAAAATGTTTAGTTTATTATGAGCATTTATGTATCCCCTTGTTCACCTAAGCTAGATTAATTTTATTACACAGCTGTAATAGGAAAATCTTTGTAGGTACAGCATCTTATGTACGTGTAATTGAAACTGATTTTAATTAAACACATCAAAGTTCAACAATCGCGATAAAGTCTACCATTTGGAACTACGTTTGATCATGAGTCTTTATAATTCATACAATTTCTATTATTTTTATATTTACATTATTTATACTTCAGAATAATAAGACCTACTAATGCATAATAAAAGATAAAAATAGAAACACATTTGTGTGATAAGCAGTGACGTCATTTGTGGGGGGGGGGGGGGTGCAACTCATGCATTTGCCAAAGTCTAGAGATTAGCTATTCCAAAGTCAGTACATCATCAAACTATGTATCCGTCTTTTATTTACAAGTTATAAATCAAAAAAATTAAGCATGTACTATGCAGGTATTTCAGGGTGAACTGGCTACTTCAGTACGGTTCGGGATATATTTTTTTTTAAAGTATCCAGAAAACCATTGTTTATTACCTATTACACTATTTCATCATTTATGTTATTTTACGACACATTTTTTTCAGTTAGATATTTTAAACACGAACTGTAACCCATAACATAAATATATAGCAACAATTACTTATTGACTTATTTATTAAGGAATTAATAATTTATGCAAAGTGTCAAGTGGTAAATTGAATTTTAATAATTATTCTCAATGCAAAAAATTACTTTATATCGAGGATTATTGAAAATGTATTATTTATAATTTATAGATTTTAAATAAAGCAAAATTATTTTTGTATTATAAAAATCGCAATAAAATGTTATAACAACCAAATGGGTTAATTCGAATTTCGGCCGGCCCTTCGGAAAATTTCTCGTTCTCCCGATTCTCCCGTTCGCTCCTGGAATATTTATGTACAAAGTACAAATCATTACCTTTTTTGAATGGTTTGATGTCCTCCTCCCTCTCGTTAATCGACGTTTTGGTAAAATGAGTCCCCGAACTGGCAATCTTATAATAGCATGTTAAATTTAATGATTTTAAGTCATAATACATTGGCAGTGATTATTTATTAATTATTTTATATTATAGTAACATAATTAATATAAAAGCTCACTGATTTTAATAATCAATATGTGAAACATTCATAACATACATCAATCGAGTTTAACTATATAAATATACGTTAATATATTAATATGAGGTTAATGTGTGGTTATTGATTATAAGTTCAGTTAACTTTTAATAAGTCGAATACAGACTATTGACAGATGTAAACACTCGTATTTTTCCGGTGATTAGTTAAAGATGGAATATTTTAATTTCTTATCATTATTAATTTTTTTCTGATGCATATCACATTTATTTTGATAATTATAAACAGAAATAATTATATTATATTTAATTAAGTAGTCACTTAGTTTCGATAACAAATATCCGTTTGGCCAAAACATAGATAAGACATAATTGTATTTAATTCCGCCACTATAGATTTTAAGGGGGGCGTAATTCGTTTAATTTCCTCTTCATGTAATCTTCAAGTTGTGAATAATCGACTAATGTATTCTGTATGAGTTCTTTGAGTACATGAGGCCATTCATGTTCCAATAAAAGTAGTTTGGCCATTGCTAGACACGTAGTGTTGATTAATGAATTGAAATGAACCAGTCCTTTGTGTCTCCAAATACATTCATCCTGAAAAAATACGTTACACGATTTACAAGTACTTCCTATAGTAAACTAATTCGATAACATCAAAACTTATTTGTTATTTAACAATATGTAAAAAGGATATGTCTACAAAATAATTGGTTGAATGTTGGAAATAATACCTAATACCTAATTACATAGTATTTATTTCAAATATTGATTGCTACTATATTATATTCATGCAGGTTGGTAAAATACGATTACTGTTACAGTTTTAAAACAAATGTTTTAATAATACATTTTTTCTATTTTTCCTTTTGATTACATTTTTTTTTTAAATTAAAATTTTTTTTTAAAGCCCGGTTGAAAAGAGGGCATTGAACTCCGGTGTGTATTATCCTAACCTCTTAACTACAATTATACATTTAATGGTTATTACCTGAGAGTTTCCATTTTTACGCCACTGCAGTGCTTCTTTGCACACAACATTTCGTAAAGCTGGGTCCGACGACTTTAACCACTTACATGCACTTTCCTCAGCGCTATAATCCAACTGTAATTTATTGAGCAACGGTGTCAACAATGATTCGGGCAGTGAACATAAAACCAAATTACTTAATCCCTTAAAAGTATCCGAAGATTTGGCTATCTGAGTTTCGTCCACCTAAATAATTCATTTTTTATGAGATAATCGCGATATAGAAAAAAATAAAACAATTATTTTGTTCATAATATGTACAAAGATTCATTTTTTAAACCTCGTTATCGTTGACGAATTTCAATCCCCAATGAGATAACCTATAAATCGCATAAGAATGCCATTCTTTTCGTGTGATCGGGTTACCGTCCTCGTGTATATATAACGAAGCTAGTCCTTGTAAATCGGCCAGTGCGTTCAACTGACCGAGGCAGTAAATATTGGTATCACGGAAAAAATAGTTTTCCGCATTCGGGAATCGATTTTTGATTTTGGAAAAAACTGGTACAAGTGAATTGAAATTAACGTAATTAAATTTAATGGTGGTCACGTCGACTGATTTCGACTGATTCCAGGGCTTGTCTATGTACCGTAAACTGCCTTGGCCGTACACGTTCAAGAACGTTCCTGTTATTTCGACCAAATAATCGCCACCTGTCAATAATAATAAATGAAATCAATGTAATAATATACATTGCACACGATCGATATCCGAAATTGAAATAAAAATAATATTTCGCCGTAATAATATACCCGGTAAAGACCCATTGAAAGTATAAGTACCAATAATATTTTATTGTTCGATAATTTTTTAATAATATATTTAGACGATTTAAAATCGTTTGAACGAAAAACAAAAAAAAAAAAAAAAAGTAACGAGAAAAACATCACATTGTTATGTTCAAATCGAATGCAAGCAGGAATGTATTTTCGTAGTTGGTCAAATCCAAAAACAGCCTTAGACATTATTAAATTTATTATTAAAAAAAAAAAATAGGTACGATTCATAGGAATATTAAAAGCAGGCCTAATAAAGTATTTATATATGTTACCGGCAATATGGATAACCCGGTATTTTGCAAAATATCTAAAATCACTCGATAATATACATACTATGAGCTTTGCCTAGGTATTATGTATAATGTCGATCGTGGAGTAGGCAATATGAAGAAAACAAACAAAATTGTCGTTTATCATAAATGTGCGTTCACAATTTAACGCAATAAAGATTAATATTCTTTTAAAACTACAATAATAATTCTGAGATATAATATTGAACGTACTAATAATTTTATTACAATATTTCTCGTTTTGGTGTTACTACTATGCATACGAATTTTTATAACAAACTACAAATTTTTTTTAAAAAAATTTGGCCTCTAATACTAGTTTTTTATCTGATGAACAGTATAATGAGTTGATAAAAATGCAATCCACAAAAATTGGCCAAGGATTTTTAAAATGTGTTTCTAAGTCCAAGTGTTAAAATAAAAAGTGTATTTGCCTTAAGAATAACATTTTGTGCACTTCAAAATGTCACTTTTCTACAACATGTTTTAATAAGTAAATAGTAGTTTAAGTAAAATATTTATTTAATAATAGATAAAAATTAAATTTTGTCTGTAATAAGAATAATAATGTATAATAATTATAAGAATCTTAATGTTATACAACATATAGTAAAATGTTTTGTACTTTGCCCAAAAAAAATTAGTATTTTGCATAATGCCTAGGCATTTTATAAGCTACCTAGGTTATATGTAAAATAATATTGAAAATCATATGTTTTATTTACATTGCCTAAAATTGGTCGGCAATTTGCATTATGTCTAGGCATTTTGCAAAATACCTGAGTTATCCATATTGCCGGTAACATATATATAGATAAATAATAAAGACCTTGTTCTTTGTTTTTGTCTTTCGAGTTGGAAGAATTTCCTTTTGGTTTCGGCCTGGACGTAGCCGGCCGAAAACTGTTCTCCTGCTGATCGCTTATTATCGGAGCCGACATCCGGGGGTTGGCGCTTTTTATCGGCCGACCATTATTTTTGTTGTTGTTAACCGCAGCAAATTCTTTGAGTGGTTTTCCTGCGGAAGGCGACTCGCCGCCGCCACTGGTGCTGCTGTTGCTGCTACTGCTGGCGTTGCTGCTCTCGTCGCTGCTGGAAGCGTCCGCGACGTTGCACAGACTCGAAACGCTCCTTTTGCTCTGCACGCTTTGGTCGGACGGGTACATGTCCAGACTGCTGCTGTCGTTGTGCCTGAACTCCGATTTCCTTCTCGTGGTCGGGCTCTGGTTCAGGTACTGGTTCAGTATCGGCGGTAACCTGGTCACCGGCACCGTTTCGATTTTCTCTTTTGTCGGGCGCCGGCACAGTTTCTTCTCCACGAACGTTCGGTTCTTGTACAGGAAGTACATTTTCTTTTTCCGCTGTTCCGCGGTCACCGCAGTCTCTTGCGCGTTGCCCTCTGACGGTTTCTCACACAGCGCAGAATCGCTCTTCGTTCCTGTGCACATCACATCAAATCCGATTTACAATCACTCCGTAGACGTACAAGTCATATATATATATATACGTATTAATTATATTAGTACGTATAAATTAAACCGTCTCGTATTTTGTCGACGATTTTAAAACCGGTCAGTTCCTTTATATACTTATACGTGTATAGGTGTATATTATTTTTTCAGACCGCTGCGGTCATCATCAATCATGACTATACTAAACATTCTAACAATGAGAAATAATCGAAATACAATACCAATTCATCTACCGATAACAATCTTACTCTGCCATGATCCAACGATAAAATCAACTAACTTTCCTGAAAATATGGGCCCTAATAATCGTTTTATTTTAGTAAGAGAAAAGACCGCGTTTAACAACAGGCTTTTACTGCGAAATGTCTAGTTACCATCTTATCCCTGTGATCAAAACAAATAACGAATGAAACTATAATGCTGTTTTGTTGAATTTAAATCAACCATTTGTCGAATTAGTATCACTGGACGCCATTTTCTATCACGTTTAAAAATGTATGTATATTTTATGTATATTAAATAATACATAAAAAAAAAATCCTTGGTATATTTTTATGAATAATTTTTAATTTTCTTTAATTTAAAGTTTCATACGAATTTATTGTTAGACGTAATGCAAATTGCAATAAATAGTTCAGTGGTTTTCAACCTCGAAGTCATGAAAAATAGTTCGGAAGTCCCTAAAAATAAGTAACAAATGGTTATTCATATCAAAATGTATTAATTTAATTTAATTATTACGAATGTACAATAACATGTTGAATAAAATAGCGTATAGCCTAATATCTTATCTGATGACGAATTATTAACTATAAGCTATTGTTATCATTGATCTTAATTGGATTGGCATTTAATGGCTAACCTGGTTATTTTTACTCTCGTACCTTATACGTGTATTTCAATTATTTTTGTTACAAATATTATATTTAATAATAAGTTTGGTTAAAAAACCAGATATAAGAGTAGCAATTTCTAATATAAAACCTAATATAGAAACTATAGTTTCAAAAATTCAAGCACAAGTTTCCTATTAGAACAAGAAAATTGTTAACACAAGTTTACATGTTATTTATTTAATTTTTACATTTTTTTTTTTATTTAAATTAACGTAGGTATTCAAAAAAATTTCATATTCTATTATTAATTATTTGTAGGGCTTGCATTAAAAAACAAGTAAAAATTGGAGGTCATGATTCGAAAAATGTTCAAAACCATTACTTTAGTTAATAAATAAAAAGTATTATTTGTAAGCTAGTCATGTGTAAATTGAATATTGAACTGTGTGTAAATCAAAATTCTATCAAACAGTAACCAGTGTAGTTAATGAAGAAGTTTCTTAAAAAAAAATAACGAATTACCAACACGTTTTTATATTTTGACATTTCAAAATGAAATAAGTATGTTCTAAAAAAAAACATAAGACACTGAGTACGACATGGTACGTACCTATATGGATTTAAATTGCTTGTTTAATTATTTGGTAACTAGGTTATAATAAACGACAGGAATACAATAAAAAAGCAGACAAATATTTCCAATCATAAGTTAGTAAAATAAACATTACCAGTTAAATTCTATTCACAAAAAAAAACATTAATAATATGCGATTAAAACGCATTGGTTATAAATCAGCTATGTGGTGTTAAAAGCAATTCAACATTATTACCACATATATGTCTATATTCGAGTGCAATGGTATTTAAATTATATTATAATAATGTAGTCATTAAAGTCTAACTATTGAATTATTAATTTTATGCAAGAGTAATGTTTATAATAATTATAATTATTGTGTGTGTTACGAGTCCACTTTTTTTCACTAAATATTTTCAATAAAATAATATAGATAAAATAACAATTTTAAAAATTGAACAAACAAATTTATGTATTTAAAAAAAATTATTTAGGGACAAAAAAATGACTAGGAACATGCAAATAGGTTTTTGAATATTTTATGAGTAAAGTAAACGTTGGTAATTTAACCTAGTCTGACATGGACAAATATTTAAAATTTTCCTATAAAAAACGGACTAGAAAAATACAAATACAATATACATATTTGTAAGTGAAATAATTCGAATTTTTAATTTGCAAATACATTATAAAAATGTTATGGTATACATGCAATATGGCATGTTTAATAGGACCTTTTACAACGCAGTACATTATTAGTTTATTATTTTCATTTAGTATTATAGTGTGATTGAAACCAACTATGCTATATAATTCGGAGTGTTGGGCGGTTGACAGGAGAATAGAACAGAGTATGAATGTTGCAGAAACGATAATGTTTAGATGGATGAGTGGAATGACAAGTTAAGATAGAATAAGGAACGAATATTTGAGAGGTAGTATTAGTGTAGCGTCAATAGTGGACAAGATGAGAAAAGATAGACTAAGACGGTTTGGGCATGTGAAGAGTAGAGAGGAAACAAAAGCAGAAAGAATTTTTATGAAAATGAACGTTGAAGGGAAAAGAGGATAAGGAAGACCAAAAAATAAATGGTTGAATACGATTGTGAATGATATGAGGGCTGTTTGTGTGTGTATAGGGGATGTAAAAAAAAAATCGAAACGAATGAAGGTTTAGGATAAAGGTGGCCGACCCCAAATAATTGGGAGAAAGTTTGGAAGGAAAAGAAGAAGGATAAGAAGATTTTCGTTTAGTATTTTCTTAATTGTATAATCGTGTGAATACGGCATATATAGGTTTACATTTTTATAAAAGCTGATCAAACTACCATAATGTAGTATAACCAAATTTCATTATCAGAACAATACAGCTTACCGTCTTCTGTTTCTGTTGAGCTTCTCAGATCCTTTAGTGAAGACGCTAAACTCGGGTACGCGCAGTGTTGAGAGCGCATTTGTTCCCAGTTTGATTTAGCGTTGTATATGATATTGTCGCGACCCTTTTTCCCCGGTTCTTGTGCAGAATTCGCAGCAACGCATTTGAGACTTTCTCGGGTTTCCTTCCAGATCACAGCTGCACGTTTCATCTGATCGGTCACCTGAAGCCGGTTAAGCGCCTGGAGCTGCGGGAGATGTGACACCAAGAACGACACGCATTCGTCGAATGCCGACACCGGGTTGTTGTCGATAGCTAACTCTTGGAGTTTGTTTAAATGCACCAAACTCGGCATGTCGTCAATACTGCGAACAATTTTGCACCGCTATGATCACACGAAGACTGCAGATCGTCGAATCGAGTGTTTTCGTACAAGTACGAGTGCATGTCGTACCGAACAGTGTACGAGACTCACGTGTTTATTTCGTTGTTGCTCAGAAATAGTTTCGTCAGTTGTTGAGTTTCCGAGAACCCCAAAAGGCATTTCAAACGATTTCTTCGAAGATTGAGTTCCCGCAACGATCTTAGCCCGGCGAGGTCCAACGACCCCAACACTTTGATCTGATTTCCGGCCAAATTCAAAACTTTTAACTCGCCTTGACCTTGCAGTCCGCCCACTTGAGTTAATTGGTTGCCATGCAAGTCGAGTACTTCCAATCGATGTAACGTTTTTAAACCTTCAATACGTTTAATTCTATGACAAGTTTAACAAAAATAAAAATAAATCAATACCAACACGGTGGTATATATATATTTTTTTTAATAATTTCTGTTCGAATAATATAAAGTAATCCATTGTAAACACATATTTTTTAACGCAAACAAGTTTACCGATTTTTCCCCAGCAAAAGCACACGTAGATTGTTCAAGTTTTCTAGACCTGTGATTCTCTCCAACTGGTTACCGTAAACGTCCAAGAAAACCAGTCTAGACAAACCGGCACCAGCAATACCATCTAATTTCGTGAGTAAGTTATGTTGCATGGATAATAGCCGAAGTCGAGCTTCGCCCATGATCACCGGGACGGTCATTAAACCACGCCTTAACAAATGTGTAAAAGACAAACATAAATGTGATTCGCACAGTGTTCCGTATGATTTTTTACGTACGCGTTTGTTTTTATAAAACGTTATTAAAAATACCTGTCCAAACTCATTCTCTCGGGATTACGGCTCTTGGTGGTTTGCGATCTAGATGCTTGGATTTTTCCATCTGTCAGCGTTTGTAACGACACCGTGTTCGTATTGGTCATGGTTTCATTTAGATTGTTGTTGCTCCTTAAAAATTATTCCAACACACCATTAATATTGCGGACGTTACAACAATATTATGACGTGTTGACGGGTAATAATTATATTTAGATGTATTGTAATATATTCGCGTATTACTTGACAACGGACGATCGTTTTTGATGAAGGCGAGGCTGAAGAGCTGCGGGCAACAATGGTATGTTGGTGCATGTTTGCCTGCGCTGTGAATCACTCAAACTGCCGTCCGCGAGTTCTGTGTTTACTCCGAATATGGCAAAATCCGAGTTTTCGTGCTTCGAACATCGAATACAACAATAACGTTACACAATAATAGTCAAGTATTCAAAGCAATTTGTTGGAAACTTCACGGTTATAATAATAATCATAACCCACTCGATCGCAATAAAATATACATAACGCAAGTGTTTTATTATTCATATTATTATATGTCAATTTAGTATAACACATGTATATATTTATAGATTAAATAATATAATAATAATGTACATAAAACGGTATAAGTTTGCATGAAAATAATGATACTCACGGTTGAAATTATTCCACCGTTCAGCGACATAAAGTCAGCCATTTGTGTATTTGTCGCCATAGCAAAATAGCGTGTGTGTAGTCATTTCGATTTATACAATAGGGTTCTATAGCACGGCACTATGGCATGACTGCTGTGCCAGGCCCCTTCTTCGCACTAAAATAGTGTATAGTACGAAACTTATTCGATTTTTATTTATCCACAGCAAAAGTCGGCGACATCCCTACCATGCCAAAAAATTACCCGATTCATAAGGGGAAAAAATATAAGAGTTCACGTCATACAGTTGATGTACGTGAATATATACGTGTATATACACACGTGAGTAGATACCTATTATTTTAACGAGGTTGTACGTTTTAAAACGCACACGGAAAAGAGTGCTATTTACTACTAGTATTGACGCAAAACTATAGTATGTTCGTTATATCTGAATATTTTTCGTCCACATTTTTATAGTATAAAGACTGATCTTCTTAAAATTGTATTCGTATTTTAACAGTATAATTATATCTTAACACTATTAATTAAATATTTAATAATTTTATTAGGATGGTTTAACAGAATATATTCCATATCTTACTTAAGCCAATAACATTTCAGAAAAGGATACTTATTAAAAATGTTTATGTAACGGTGACCAATTATAATGTGTAAGAACAAACTAACTTTGAATTTAAGTGTCATATTGTTACATTATCTGTCGTTAACAATGGATTATTAAAAAAAAAATTAACGGTTTCAAAGATGTTAATTTGTTCTAATGCAAGTACGATTTATCTTAGGCTCGGTAGTGGATTTAAAGGGGGGCGAAAGGCCTTACCTCTCCCATTCGTCGAAAATGTTTAGTATGTTTTGATTAAAATAACTTATCACCATCCATCGTCACATCATAAGGCATATGAACATATTAACATATATTTAAAATTTGACATTCCTGCGAGGTTTGCGGTTCATAATTTTGTAATGAAAATGTTTCCATAAATAATTACTAACGTCACATAATAATAAACTATTATCGCCGGCAAGAAATAAATTATTAATTAAAACAACTTATTTCTCACACAAAGCACTACATGTTAGCGATTATTTAGGTATTGAACTGGACATGTCCACTTTCGGAAACAATAAAACCCAGTGGTGCCCAACACGTAAGGTAAGTGGGATAAATACTCCAGAACTTTTTTAGGTGATGAGTGGGTTAGTAGGCGGGTGACTTAATGAGTGCTATATTTATTATTTTTATTATTGTATGATAAAATATTCTATAATATTAGGTAATTACAAGATAGTAAATACTTGTAGTTAATATTATATTATAATACTTGCTGTTTAATTATGATTTTTTGGTGATTGGGTGAGTACCTTATCTACAAATAGGATTTATCCCAGTGAAATTAAAAAGATTCGGCGCCACTGATAAAACCATTTTGGCATAGAATGAATGAAAAACAAGTAGGCAAATTATTTAAACGGGAATCAAGAAACAAAATAAAACACATATTATATGGTGGTAAAATGGCTCACCCTATGCCTAAATGTTTATTTTTGTGTAAACATCAAATTTGACCAAAACAAATATTTTTTGGACAAAAACATAATGCATCTAAACATTTTTTTACACAATATTTTTCAATATAAAAATGAGATGCAATCAACTAAATTTACAAACTAAAACATAAAATAGATAGTGTTTACTGGTTAACAAATACGACAAAAAATAAGTAGATTTTAATGTTACACAAATAACATTCATGTAAATTGTTTAAATAGCCAAGTTCTGAAATACTTATATTTGTTTTTCTGAAAATTTCTTCCAATAATGAATTGAACGTTACATTAGTTTACAGTAATTTTAAGATAATATGTGGAATGTAAAACTTAAGTGGATTAGAAAATATCAACAATTTAGATTTTCAATAAAAAATTAAAAAAAAAATGGTAAAATGATTAAGTTTCAATTAAACTTAATTTTATGGCACTAAAAAAAAAATAATAAAAATAATTTCCTATTATTAAATGTTTTAATCCACTTATATTTAACATGACACATGTATAATATTATTATTGTTTCTTGTTTATACAATCAGATTAAATGATCATTAAGATTTAAAACAACAGTGATTTCTTTTAAAAATTATGATAAAAAAAAAAAATTCACAAAACACAATACTATTTAAAGGAACATCAATACATTTTACACTAAGAGTATTAGATTAAGTACACAATATTTTTGAAAAATGTTGAATTATACTGTCAAATTTAGTAGACTAAATTAATTTATATTTAACGTATAACAAAGATACTTCAACAAAATTATACATAGAAAGTTTAACAGAAACATAATTAGTCAACTCAAATATAAAATAATAATAGTACAGTAAAATGTCTAACATAATATTTTATGTATGTACAATATTAATCTATGCAATGAATTTATTTAATTTATGCATGATAGCTGTGATATTATTAGTAATATTAGTATTGCACACATTTGAAAACAAATATTACTAAAATTAAACTTTATTGAAATTAAAATTCCAATGATATTGAATATGAAGCAGATTTTGTAAAATACTCAGATGATTCTAAAAATAATAATTAAAACTGGTTCTAAAATAACGTGTACAAAATAAAAGTATCGTTTCAAAGTTACAAACTTAAAAAATCAAACATCTATCAGATACAAAATAATTCTATTAGTTTCTAAACAAAAAAAAAAAGTAGTTTATTGGTTAGTATAAGGATTAAAAAATATCATTAAAATAATTTGTTCACAAATTTGTTAAATTTTTTAAAAACTTTTCTCAACTTACTAGTGGCCCCCTTTATTTTAGGCCGGACCACATATTGATAGTCTCATTCGTTTTTAGTTCGATCAGGCTTTTTATCCCATTCCTCACTTTCACGGTCTGAAATAGCTTCTTCCAAAGAAGCTAGATTTGGTTTACTGGATACTTCTTGAGTAAAAAATTCATCATCTTCAAATGGGTCTGTATTTCTAGCAAATATATTAATAGACTCTGATTTTTTCATTTCTTTAGGTGAACTTGATATCTCTTCTTGAGGAATTTTAACTTCTTTGGCCGTAAAAACATCATCATCTTTAAAACTGAATTCACTAGATATACTACCTTTAGCAGCAGCATTATCTGGTGTAAAATCATCTTCAAATGGAGAACGCTTTGATGCTTCAATTTTCGAGTTTGAATCAATAGACCTATGACCACTATCAGATCGTTTTGGTCTTCTAGCATTTCTATTAGTTTTTGAACTAGTGGACGGAGATGGTTTAGTAAGGTATCCCAAATCAGAACAAGTACTCACTGTTTTGGTAAATAATGAAGAATCGGGACTATCAGGTGTGAAGTTATCATCAAAAGGAGAAGTTTGATTACGTTTCAATGACCATTTTTTTGTTGATCTTCTAGACCAATTTTGTTCGAGCTCAGATTCGCTTAAGTCCAATTCTTCTTGACTATAAGGTTTTCTAGGTGGAATGTTACGCTCTTCATCACTACCTTCACTCCGCCGATGATATGATCTTCTTGGTTTTCTGGGTGTTGTTGTGGATATATATCTATTCTTTCTTGGTAATCTATACCGCATTTTTATATCATCATCGTCACTATTATCAATAGGTGGCGGTCTAGGGTAATTCTTATATCCTTTTGGAATTGGTGGTCCATATCGATCCCAATTATATTGCTCTTCCAAGTATCTTCTTCGTCTTTCATACATGAGCCTTTGGTATTTTTCATCATCCCAATTGGGTGTAGAAGGTATTTTTTGAACTCTTCTATCTATATCAGGACGGGCATAAATACGTCTTTTATCATCCTTTGAGGACCTTCTTCGCTCGTCATCCATATGTGGTACTCTCCAATGTGGTGGAAACATATATGGAGGCTCCCATTCATCACTATACCTAGTTTTTTCATCCCATGGTGATGGTTCACGATGCCGAGGTGATATTTTACGATTACTTCTTCTGTTATGTTTTCTTCCATAATAAGGTTCATCCTCATACATAGATTCACCATCACTCCAGCCATTTTCAGTTTGAGGAAAATCTTCAATTGAACTTTCTAGACTTCTTTTGGCATTATCCCAATTATCTTCAGACTCTTCACAATCATCCCAACTAGATGAACATTTACTACGGTTTGAAGATACCTTTTTTAAATTTACTTTTGGTTTAGGAATAGGTTGTTCTTGATCATGTGTAGACCATGGAGAAGTTATTTTTTTGGCAGTTTCTGGCTCGACATCAAAAGTTGCCCAGCATTGAGAATTATCGAATAATTTCTGACTTGCATTATTTTCTATCAGTTCAGGATTCTCTATAACTGTTGTTGTAGCAGAGTCTTTTATAGTTTCACATTCTATTGCTTCTTTTACATCTTCCTTTTTAATAACATGATTTTGTTCTTCGTAATCATCATCTTCATCATCATTTCCACCTATATCATCATCTTCATCATCATCTTGGTCGTCTTCAACATTTTTAATTTCAACCACTTCTTCATCAATAACGTTTTCATCTTTATTCGAAGATACTTGATCATTATTTAATTCAATAGCTTGTTCTGAAATATTACTGTTATGATTTTTTTCAATAGGAAAGTTTTCTGCTGATTCTTCTTCATAAGTTTCATCTTTCATAGGAATATCTCTCAAGGCTGCATATTTATCGTTTTCTTTAATTCCAGTATCAGTTTTTTCTTCATCTAATAACTCCCTAAATACTGCATATTTATCATATAAAGATTTTTCAGGTTCTTTCTTTTCTTCTTCAGTCTTTTTAAGAACACTTTGTGGTTCTTCATTACCATTAGTAGTTGTTAATTTGGACAATCGTAAAGTCAATTCTTTTAAAGTCATCTTTGACAAAGAAGTAGGAGATATTCTTAAAGTATCTGCTAAATCACTAAACCCTGTTTTAGTTAATTGACTTAATGTAATATCCAATGAAGTAGACCCATTTGATTTTGATTCATTGCTAGTTTTTCTCACTGATACTGGTACTAAATAATATTCTGAATCCAGTTCTTCTTTTTTTTTCTTAATATCATTTTTTGGTTTTCTAGATGGCAATGGTAATGGAGGAGCTTCATTATCTTGTTGTGTAGATGGTAAACTATAGGAACTTACATAATTTTCTATATAATCATAATGGTTATTCCGTGTACGTATTGGTTTTACATTTTTAGAAGATACTTGTTGTTTTTTAGGTGGTAAAGGTGGAGGCTCCAATGAAGATGACGGTCTTGGTGGAGGTTCAGGAGCAACGTCTATTCGTTGAGGTAATGTCATCAATTTCATAATGGCATAATCATCTTCAGGTGAAATTGGATCTTCATTTCTATAATAATCTGGACTAGGAGTTTTTCTCATTTTTAACTTAGATCTATTTTTAGACATTAAATTATATTTAGGGGATGAAGAAATATTGTATGGTTTTTGTGTTTCAGGTGGAAGGGAAACTTTTAACAATCCTTGAGCAGAATTTTGTGATGATGAACTATCACTTTTTAACAATGGAGATTTATGTTGCAACTGTGGTGAAACTGGTTTAAGAGATTCAAATGAAGAAAAATCAGCAAACTCCATCTCAACAGAATTTGAATCATGAGATTTAATAAAATTATCATTTTTAAATGGATCTTCAATAAATCCAACAGAATCTTTAAATGACAGATCGGAAGAAAATGAATGGCTAACAGCTTTAGTTGGTAAATTTTGAGGTTGTTGCTCTGAGATTTTTTCGTTTTCATGTCCAGCAAGTTGATTAAGTATTTTTTTAGGAGGATTCTTAAGTTCTTGAAAAAAATCTTTCTTATCCACATATGGTTTACTGCGACCAGTTCCTAATGGATCTAGTTCAGTAAATACATCAAATGCATCAGACTTAATTGGGCTTGTACGATTAACTGATTCATTGACCTATAAAAAAAAAATATATATATAACTAAACCATTATTATGCAATTGTTAAAAATAATTTCAATATTATAAAAATTCAAAATTAAAATCAGATTTTATAAGATAATCAATACAAAACACTAAGCCATTATTCTTTATAGATTTATTAAATAATTTAACTATGAAAAAAATAAATATTTTTCTTATTAATTATAATGATTATTTAAAATAAATATACATAATACATATATATTTATTTATATGTGTATAAGAATGTGTGTATGTATTGGGTTATCTAAGAAAATTGCAACCTTCGCAATCTCTAAATGAAAATTATTACTTTAAAATTAATGAGTCAGATAAGTAGAGAAATGTTTTATTTTTTTTTTTTTTATACAAATTATAATCAATCTTATATTCTGTTTTGAACCAATCCAATTTTAATTCAATTATATAGTAGATGAAAATTTAATTTCAACATTATATTGAGTAGATTAAAAATATTAACCTTTTAAAATTAAAATACTACTTTACAAATGATATCTAAAAATTTAAAACTTTATTATTATTTAAATGTATGCAAAAGTTTATATGAATTTAAAATAAAATATCATAATCAAATTAAAAAAAAAGAAATACCTCAATATAGAGTTATGTTATAACTAGAACTTGATAACCTGAATAAGATTTTGAGTTCCTTCAATTTTATTTTAATAATAATAATTTATATGAAAAATTATAATTGTTTTTCATTCTTCCTCTTTGAAGTTTCTATAACTCAAATGTAAAATAAGTGTAACTAAAAGTATATAAAAAATATGTTAAAATATAATATTATAAATATAAATGTAAAATTGAAATAATAACATATAGATAAATTTAAAAAAATATGTCACTACAAAAATAAAAGCTACATATTAAATATTTTAATGGATTTTCTATACAGTGTCTGACGAATATATATCAATTGCAAAATCTCCTAATATAAAAAAGATAATCAAATTCTATGTTTTCACATGACATACTAAGTAATAAGTAATTCAAATAGAGAAAATAATAATTTACCTTAAAATCAGATGACTGTAGAGATTGACGAACTTCACTAGGATTTGTAAGACTAAAAATACTTTCAGTTTCTTTATCAAACCAATGTTTTTCAGGTTGTCCACTTGAAGTTGCTGAACTATTTCGTGTTCTTCGTTCTCCAAAACTAGGTGGTGGTGGTAATTTAGTTAATACAGTTGGAATACTAGTAAAAGAATCACCAAATGGATCACTTGATGGTGGAGTAATACTATCCATTTGTGACAATCCTTGCTGAAGATTATTCAGTTCAAGCTCCAAATTCAAAAGATCATTGGCATTTGGGATTGTATTTTTAAATTCAGATTTTTCCAAACTTGATAAATCACGGTTGAATCTTTTAGAGCCATCATCATTACAACTAATCTATAATACATTTATGTAAAATTATCAAAACATAAATAATTATATATATATATATATAAAATCATTTACACTATAAAAATAAATAGACATACATGGTCAGTTTTTGATGTTGTACTAGCAAGCGCTTCTAGATAGAGTCCACTGCCTTTCATAATTTGTTGCTGTCTAGTCATTTCGATTTCTTGTTTTTTTAACTCAAAAACTGTTTGAAAAAGATCTCTCATGGTTATAACAACCTGAAAATATAACTACTAGAAATACACAAATTTAAAAAAAATTATATAACATTACCTGGCTTGCGGCTTTATCAGTTTTTATACCGAAAAATCTATGGCCCGTATCAGGAGAACCAAATATGTATCCAAACGCTCTAGAGTCAACCATGTCTTGTGCTATGAATGAAATTTTATGTATTGGATGGTGGTATAAACAATCCTGTAATTTTTTGAATATAGTTTAATATAAAGTAGTAAAATATAACAAATATTTTAACTTACCCCAGTCTTTTCATCTCTCAATTTTAATCCATCAATAGCTACATTAATTGTGATACGTTGTTTGTGTTCTCCAGCAGCCCGAATAGCCATCTTTAAATCAAACAACGCTTCTTGGCACATTCTATCCCCTCGAGCTTCACTGACTTCCAATATGCCAATAAGTTTAGCTTTAAAACTAACTCCATCTCCCATAAATCGTATTGCACCACCTTTATCTGCTACAAAAACAAATAACAGTAAATAATAACATATATTTTCACCACAAAAGGCATTAATTACAGAACACGACTTTTATCAACTATTGCTAATAAAATTTAAATGTTAAAAAAGTACAAAACAATAAACATTATTATAGATTGGCATTAAAAAAAAAAAAAACACTGGAAAACTTACATTTAAACGGACTGGTTTTTCTTCTAAGAGTTTGCATGGTTCCAAATAAAAATCACGAATATTACGCAATTTTAATTAAATATTACATGAAATTAATTTTTTACGATCTACAATTTATTTCATTTGAACATTCGGAAATGTTTCCGACTATAGGCAAACTCGAAAACAGCCGCCCGGTGGGGGTGACAGACCATCCACCCAGAGACGAAATTAATCAATATTACTCAGTCTGTACAGCAATGTAGCGAGAAAGTTCGGCTACACGCTATATATACCTACAATAAGTTTTCGTGTTCGTTTGTTTTTTTAATTTTCTATCCAACAATCAATATAGATAAACACTATTTAACTTTAAATAATTTAGTGGAATGATAAATTGTTTTGATACAAGAACTTTTTTAGTCACGTATAGTAAATTCATAAGTGAGAATATCGTCTGATCTCGGATGTGTACGCGCTACTAACACGTGCATTTCTAAGACTGTAGTCAGTACTCAGTAAATAATCACGTATTTTCAACTCTCAACTTGTCGATTTTGGTTGTTTTTCTAGCCAACTGATCTAAATAAACGTCGCATGGTCAACGCTACTACTAAAGGAACTGCATACACAATTTTGTGGAATCTGTACTTATATAGAAGTACAAATGTAAAACGTAACTTTCATTGACATGAGTACACGGCAAAGGCTGTTTTCGATATTCTTGTACTCCATCAAAAAAATTATAACATTATTTTAATAGGTCAAACAGAAATATATAGGTAGTAATAGGAAAATAATATTTAAATTATCACTAACTTAAAACTCAACGAACAAGTCCATTGAAGATTAATTTACCGTTTTGAATTGTCAATACACTTTTTACCTCGCTTTTTACTTATGTAAAAACAATAATTCAAACCTAATTAAGAATTTTAATATTTTTAGTATTTAATTACTCTATAGGTATGATTTTATTACATTAAACTAATAAAAAAATAGTTTTGTAATGTTATTAGAGGTGTTTTTACAAATTTCCTGATTTCGATCCAAGACAAAAAGAAATTTAAATTAATGGCCAACTTAAAATGTATTATACCTATTTTATAATAATATACCTAATATTTACAATTATAAGATTGCAATAAAAAATGAATTCAAAAATCATAAATGAACTATTAAGTAAGTACAGAAAAAGAGAATATTTAATACAATATGTCATAACTTGTATTAAAGTATAACGATAAAAATGGTTTTTATCATTATTGCAGTTATTTAATAATAATTAAATGTTTTTATTACAAACATATTTACTTTATAAAAATAATTGAATCTATCCCTAACACAAAATTTTAACATACGCTACTGAATGTTATAAATAATTATAAATGTATTATAATAAATAAATACATTTTACTAGATATTTAAATAAAAGTAATTTACGGACCATAATACCATATTACATGGTTAACAGTTTTTAGTCCTATCACTGTTAGAGTGAATAAAAATACTTCCCTGTTAATAATTTACTATATAATTTTTAACTATTTTTTGAATATTGATAAAAAAGACATTTTTCATTTAATAACATTAATTTTATAATTTAACTGTAGTTAATTAATTAATTTAATTTTTTATAAATTATCAATATTTATAATATTAATTTAACACTAGTCAAATGAAAAATGTTTTTCTAAGAATAAAAATAATGGATTAATAGCAGATTTAATATGGATTAATTTTTTTCAATTTAATTTTACTACATTATTATTTTTTTTTTTTTTTGTTGTAATTTATGCATATAATATTTTATTTAATACATCTAGTATTAATTTTAAGTTTTTACCCATTAGTTATAGTTATAATAAAATAGGTCAAAAAAATAATAAAAACTATAATCACATGTAATACAACTGTATTTTTAACCACAAGATAAAGAATCATGAGAAAGTTAAAAACTGAAATAAATAATTATTACATTTTTATTTTCTTTCTTAATTTATTATAAGTTTTATTTAGTATTCAGTTTTGTATTTTATTGCAAACGTTTAATAAGTTCTATACATGAATTACAAATGTAATATCAAAATATTAATAACATTCTTAAATTATAAATTCATGCATTATATATATAATAAAAGTTAAATTATAGAAATATATACATTTAATGATAAATTAATTAAATAATAAAATGCAAATATATATGTAGTATTAATAAGTAAAAAAATATAATAATTAAAAATATTTGATAATCAATAAAACGTTATGAGTTTATTTATGTATAATAAATAATAATTTATTTAAATAAATTTGATTGAAATGTTGTGTTTACCTTTAAAAACAACTGGTAGCTTATTAGCATTTTTCAATGTTTTAAACGATTCTTTGATCTGAACCAATCCTTTTTTTGGTGCTTCTTTCAATGTATGCAACTTATTTTCCTTGTTATTGTTGTGTTCGTTCAATGATTTCGGTTGTGTTGATGTTAGTCCCTTGATGTTTTCCATCTTTTACACAATACACTTAATAAGTGCAATAAATTAAAATAATTGTTTAAAATTTTTGTTAAAATCCGAAAACATTGCCATTGAGAAATTATTAATAGTTAAGTAGTAGGTTCATCGACAAAGTATAGGATTATATTCAAATAAAAACGAAATTTATCGATTTTTATTTATTATTTTCTTTTATTCAAGTGTGTTATCAGATACTTTGTTTTGTTTGATAAATCCAGTGTGGCAATGTGTAACAGTGTAGCCAATAACGAAAAACGTAAAGAATATTTTAAAATCGTCTTTTCGCAATTATAATTTGTGCACGACTACGAATCTTAATTCGTGAGCTCCATCAACGCATGAACGTAATTTAAGGGGGGCGGTAGGAGTGATCACCCTTCCCATGTATTGTATTTAAGTAACCATAAATTATGATTTACGGTGTATACCACTTTAATGAACATTATTTAAGCCCAATAATTTTGAAGAAGGATAATCGCTCCCCCTCCAGGCAAAAAAATATGAACTCCTATTTACGTTCCTGAACCCTCGAAGCCCTAAGTTAACTTGTTCATGGTTTTACTTGCCTATGCCTTACTGAGTAGAGACTTCAGAAATATCAGAACAATTTTATAATTAAATTGTAATTCATTGTTAATACATACAATTATATTTAATCGAAATACGTCAACGAAATTATTTCTATTAATTCGTTTTATCAATTGTTAAACGAACAGAAAAGAAATTTGGAAAAATGATATGCTGAAACGCCTGAAACCTAATACAAAAATGGAACAGTTTGCTAAGGAACTGTTTCCAATACGGCACGTTAAAAAGGATTAACAGTTAATTGATTTATTTCAAAGTATGATGATTGAAACTATTAACGTTCTAGCAGATTAGGTACCCGTCTAATAAATCTAATAATTTCTGTACGGTGAACCATATACAACATATGTACTGTTAATAGTTAAATTTTATTCAATTGTTTTACCCTGACGTAAAAAATAATTGTGTACATCATTTTTTAACGATCTTCAGGTGGCTCGAATCATTTGGAATTATATATAGGTACTGTAAGTCAGTAAACGTTAATTACATTAGTCACGGCGTTGGTCGAATGTTATTTAAACGTTACTGATGATTTACACACGCGAACTGCTGATGCGATTTCGCGAGTCGCCACAGCCGCCCTTGAGTCATCGTTCACGTTCCGTTGCTGTTTGTTAATAAAATAAAAATATTATGACACGGCAAACGCAACGGCGGCGTTACGATACCGGATCGTTATGTTACAGAAATTGTTTCGAGTATATGCTTGCAGTTAGTTAATTGGAATATGTGTACCGTAATAAGACTGACCAGTGGCGTGTTTACACGCAAGCACTATAATAGGCACGTGCTTGTAGCACTGAACTTTTGAAAGCACATTTTTTTTAAATTGACATGGTTTTGACACGTGGGCGCTTGTTATAATATTTCTGTAAAAAATTAACCAAATATGTAACGTGTCAATTGCATCTATAACTGAATAGATTTTTTAATTTTTAATCGTATGGAACTAGTAATATTAGCAAAGATTCTTTATTACAAATCATTTTCCGAGAAAAATACTGAAATAATATCGAAAACTTGGGAGTATTATCACAGACTATGAAATTAAATTTTAGATACCAAGTACTAATACATAGTAACAGGACCGTCATCAGGGGAGGAGACAAAAGGACCATTTAACCCCAGTCCTCGGTCTAGAAAAGTTATTAAGAAGCCTCCTTAAAGTCAAAATTGATTAGAAATACTCGGTGTTACCCATTGGAGATTAATATTTCTAAGCTATTTTTCTTTATGAAATATTAATACATTTAATTAAATAAAATTAATTTAAATTTGCATTTGAGCGCTATTAATCAGGCTACATTTTCAGATATTTTAATTTTTAAATAGTTATAATTGTAAATTATTGTGGTTATTGCCGGAGTGTGAATAATGACATTTATTATCCAAATTTACTTAAAAGTTCGTCATCCAAGTATCGACGCAACAACTCCTGAGTTCTTATTTTCTATGGATATTTATAATTATATAGGAATAAATTACATTCTTAATAAATGTGGTAACTGATAATACATTGTTGAGAAGTTGTTAAAAATTTAATTTATTATATCAATGTATTTAAATGACCTTGATCGGTTGCGGTTTGGAAAATTAACATTTAACCAATATTTTGTAAGCTTGGTGTATATTTTTTTTATCATACTCGTTTATTATCATGATGAACGAGGGGTCCCCGAATTTGCCCCGAACCCTAAAAAGCCTTAAAAATCCTATATAGTTGTATTTTAATAATTTAGAGAATGTATTTTTCTCAGACTTCGAGCATACAATTAGTAAACATGTTAATACACTCCCATCATTGATTGCGTGTAATTTGTGTGTAAATGATTTTACCTTATTCGTTGGCGAGTGTTAACCCACGGAAAGAGAAAGAGACAGAGAGTGAAAACGTTGATTGACGAAACATGTTTGACGTACATTTACCGAACTGAAAAAGAATCATTTCAACGTGTTGAAAATTCAAAATAACAAGTTATCATGTATTAATAATGAAAAAAACTGCGACTATGTTACAGGCATAAACTTCCGTCGTGCGTAGGTACAACTGCGTATGATGTGTGCACAAACAACGTTGATAAATTACATTCTAGGATTCGACACGAATGCGGTTAAGACTTTTGGGCCACGAGATCACTCGAAATAGTGCGCTAAAATGTAATTGAAAAAAAAAAATGCAGGCGATGAGCGGAAAAAATATGTTCTCGACTAGGTTTCACGTATAATAATACGATTGAAATCACTTCACGTTCGACTCATTGCGATGCTACACACTAGCCTTGTACTCACTGATAAAAAAAATTACGTACGAGTGTATGACACGGTTCGTTTTTAATCGATCTGGTCGTTCGTTCGATGCCACAAATGTATACATCAAGCTCCGTACAATCACAAGCACTCGTAACTAACGCATAAAGACTGTCGATTATACAACACGATTATCAATTATAACTGCAGAACTGAGCACCACGAACACTCAATTTCCGTAGGAAATGAGAGATTTTAGATACATAATAATGTATTGTCGCTATCATATTATTATTGTCGTGGATTTATTTATACGTTTGAACTCATTATGTGATGAACGAATATTTTTTTTTCATTATTTAGAAAATTAAACAATATGTACGCATATAGTACAATAAGCATGAGAGTAGAAAAATAAACAATAGTTTATAAATAAAAATAAATGATTAATTATAAGTATTAAACGAACATTTTTAAACGTCAGTTTTTATAAAATAAGTAGATGTTTAGAATTTGACAGTGTAATAGAGTGTAATTGAAAAAAAAATGCATAGAAAACTTTTTAAATGGAAATCAGATGGCTACTACACTCGTCATCTACAATGAATCTCTGCAGTGAGCAGGCCAATAATAATTACAACACTCGATTACCAAATAATCAATATTATGTTTGAATGGTGGTTGATTATTGATCATCAGTGTTCGTAAGTTCATGTCCTAAAAAATGCCTAAATAAGCATGCATTTATGCACTTAAAATTGGCAAAATATGCTTTGAAATATGCCTTAAAAAGTTAAAAATATGCATTTATATGCACTAAATATCTAAAATTATGCACTTAAAAAATGCTTACTTAAATAAATCATAAATAATTTTTGAAATTACATAAATTATTTATTCAATTTTTTTATAGCTATATTTTATTTTTTTCTCATAATTAAAAAAAAAAATAGATTTTAAATAGTATTTAAAACTATTCTTGAGCCTTCATGAACTGTGTATAATGTACGTCTTTGTCAGTAATTAATTTTAAATCTGAAACTTTTGGAACAAATTTATTCATTAAATGTCCGAGTATTAAGAATATAAAAAAAAAGAAAAGATAGTACAATTTCTATTTTTAATTTTATATATATTTTCCATTTAGATTTTTGATAGATTCTAATAGAATGTTGTATAATATGCCCGATAAAATAGAAATATGCATAAATATGTCAAATAAACAAAAACATGCAAAATAAGATTTCACATATTTAACCGTGGTACCTTGAAATGGATTTCTGTGTCATCTAGCATTAAATACAACTTTGCAAGATTGATATGCAAATGCATGTACTTACGAGTCCTGGTGATCATTATTGCTGTTCTATTACTCAATATGTAGTGCAAAATCATAATAATTTTTATTACCCTATGATATATGTACGATCGCCGATTAATTAGGTGCACGTCGTAAATACGTAATATTATGTGATTAGAAACATTTATTGCCTCATTGAATCGATTCTTATTCAACGACACGATATTCATTTTTAATGGAACGATTACGTTTATTTCTAGATGACACGAAAAGCAATTAATATCGTGTACTGCATGCCAGTGGATACGATAAGATTGCTTAACAACGCATTCGTGAATTTCTGGTTGTTATAAAACCGAAAATCTTGTTCAGTTTATAACGGCTTGGCCGGAACATAATGGATATCGTGATCTATGTCCCAAAGAAATGTCTCGGGGCACTTAATGCCCAGATGGAAGTATGTAGTTGAATTTAATATCAAATAATTATATTATTAATTAAATATCAATATGACTCTTGTTTAAGATTTCCACACCGTATATAATTACACTCCTTTTCTGTCTTACTCGACGTATGAAAAAAGTCATTTAAGAATGTACTACTCGGTTTGGTGCTTTTAAAATCTAACAATCCTATGATAAAAACTAGGTATCTAGAACATTTTTAAAAAATTGAAGCAACTATCAAAAACATAATTGAAGAAAAAATGTAAGCAGAAATGCAGTCATACTACTGACATAATAAAAATAAATGCTTAATAATAGCTTAATTATAAATAATACAAGTATAATATATAAGATATAATTTAGACATTGTAAGATTAGTATTTTAAATATTCATAAAATCATGAATGGATCCAGGGGGACACTGGAGGCAATTGTCACCCCCCAATGGAAAAACCATAGTATTAAAAATAAAGTATATTTAGAAGAACTAAGCTTTCAAGACACCCATGAACTATTATATAATTTTTCCTTTTAAGAGCCCTAACCGGAAATAGATGTTGAATCCTCTCTTGCATACAACACTATTATATGTTTATAGTACAATCCATTATTTGTATTACAGAACTCTTATGTATCCCTAAAAACAATATTAATATTCGTATTGAAAAAATTTAGAATCATAAGTTATTTTAAAACGAAAATGCAAATTATTAATAAACCTAATGGGGTAACAAAAAACGTACATGGAAAATTCTCTAAGTCATTTGTTCAATGAATTTAATTTCTATGAATTAATTACCACCATCATTCTATAATGGTGTTGTATTCATTAATGTTCTCATACAGTTCATATGTACCTACTTTGTTTAAATTATTTTAAAAATACTGGAGTTACAACAGTTAAAAATAAAAATAGTAGGAATACCGTTGTTGAAAATATTATACAATAGAACATCCAATCAAAAGCTGCATACATAGTTATATCTAATATATTATTTTACTATATAGTCACTATATATTTATTTTTTATTAAATATCGGTTTTCATAATATAGTTATTGAATATACATATATAAATATATTATACTTATATATTCTTTAATAGTTTAAACAGCACAATAAATAATATATAATAATAATAGTAATAATAATACACATATAAATAAATAAATATGTGTGTATATATAGATATAATATATATTATACACACTAGCGCACACATTTAATTTTTTTTTAAAAAGAATTCATCCAATCAACATAAATCATAATATATTAATTATAATATGTGTATATAAATTTAAAATATATTACTATATGTAACTCCCTTATGTTTCAGTTTAAAAATTGTATATAAAAAAATAATGGAAAAATAAATCATTTTATGTTTTAGTATAATATAAAACTTAAAATTTAAGCTAAAAATAATAATAATAATAATTATAATGCTTAATATAATAGAAAATGCATTGAGATGTACGATTAAAACGAACCAAAAAAATTATATAAAAATTAACACACAAGTATACATAATATTTGGTACACGTTTAGTAATAATAAATTAGCACAGTATAATAAATTGTGGCTTAGATAAAACTGTTTATATCATTAATCAAAACCTTAATATAGTTTTTTTTATTATTATTATTATTATCATTTGACTAATTATAATTGTAAAAGTTTTTCATCATTAAAATGATTGAAATAAATATTAAAATATTGCTAAAAAAAGGCTAAAATTGGTATTTTATTGTAAAGTGCAATAAGACACAAAAAGCACTAATGAGAAGTTAATTTTATTATTATTATTATTATTATTATTATTATTAAATAAGTAGGTAGTAATTGTTGAGAATGATGTTTTTACTAATGCATTCAACTTGATTCTTTTTCCTTCTCTTTTTCTTTAGCTGAAAAATATAAATAAAATCAATTACCATTAAATAATTGAAATTATTATTATAAAGTTATGTTCTTTTAATATAAACAAGATAAAGAATAAACTAATTTAAAAAAAAGAGTCGAGTAATAAAACATTATTTAATAACAAAAGTTCATAGCTAAAATAACCTAAACCATTAAATTGTTTTCATTTAAAATATACTTTAAGCTGCGATATAAAATAAACTCAAATACTTCAATAATATCACACACAGAAAATCAATAGAACATATTTTGATAATAATACTCTAACCATTATTTACTATTATTCTAATAATTAAAATAATATTATATAATAATTATTGATGAAAAAACCTATTTAAATTTGATAAAATTTTTATGGTTACATTAATTTTAAAATTAAATTAAATCATTTTTTAATAGCCAGACAGAAATGTTATATAAACATTGTTTTTCTTTAATAATTCAATAAATTCAAAATTGAATAGATGTGGCTAATTAAAATCAATAAGAAATAATATCATTTAACTATTTAAAGTAATATAAATAATGTTTTATTATAATAAAAATTAAAAAAAAAATTAATTAATTAAATTAAATTAAAAAATATATATATCATGCATTGTAGGGTTAAGTGAATCCATATTTAATAATTAATAATAAAGTATTGTTATCAGTTTAGTTTAAAACTTTTAACCAGTATAATAAATAAAAATAAAAATACTTGTAGGACTTGAAGCTTCTGCAGGAGTAGAAGTGCCATTAGCAGAAGAATCTTCTTCCTTTTTTTCCTTTTCTTTATCAGCATTCTTTGACTTCCCTTTAACTGGCGTAGCTGGTTTTGGTTTGGGTTCCAAGCTTGGGTCCAAAACTATTTTTCCAATATTTTTTCTGTCATGCATTTTTTGCATAGCCTCACCCACCTAAAAGTATTTACAAATATCAATAAAATATATACTTAGTATAATAGGATATATTAAAAAATAAATATTTACATCTTCAAAAGCCCAAGTAGAATCAATAACCGGTTTCACTTTACCATCCTTCCATAAACCAATTACTTTGTCAAAAATTTTTGCCACATATTCAGATTGGTTTTGATGGAACAACAATCTTCTTAAATTGAATCCCATAAGAGTTTTATTCTCATCAAACAATTTTAATGGAGAAATTTTATCCACTTGCCACCACTAAAAAAAAAAAAAAATGAAATAATAACTCAAGAAAATTTTTTTTTTTTCTTAAAACTTACAGATTTAGCAGCACTGAAGAAGCTTTTTGTTTCTCCCGTAACAATATTAGATGAACCTAATAGGTTTTAAAAATTGCATTAGTTAATACATTTTTAAAGAATTTTTCAAAACAATAAAAAAATTAACTAGAAAAATGATATTTACCAAACAAAATATATTTTCCCATTGGTTTTAACAGAGAATATCCACGGCTACATTCTTCTCCGCAAACACAGTCTAAAAAGAGATCAACACCTTCTGGAGAAACCCTACAAGTCAAATATATATTTTAGTAACATAAGAACAGTATTCATTATATTAGTAAAATTACTTTCTAACTTCAGCAGCATAATCACTACCACGTTCCAAAAGATGATCAATGGTTCCTTTCAAGGCTTCATGTTTAGATTTCGATGCTACACCAAATACAGTAACATCTATGGTTTTGCAAAGTTGGGCAACTGCTTGACCCTACAAATAAAATAGTTTTTTTCTTCTTTATTGCCATAGTTAATTGTATAAGGTTTTAAAAATATATTTCTTAATTAATTTAGAAATATGTTTAAAAACGTAAGTATAGGTTTCTGTATAGGACGAATAATTTCTATTATTATAACATTAAAATGTTATTAAAATTATAAAACATAAAACCTGTATCGATTAAATTTATTAGTAGTTTATTAGTTTATTTTATTAGTAGTTTTAAATATTATTATTATATGCGTAATATCAGTTGTTTATAATGTTGAAATATTTTTTAAGTTATCGCAATTCAATTAAATAACAAAAAATTATTCAATTATTAACAATACAAAATCAAATAATTCAACATAATTATACAAACTGGAAAAAAAATGTATAACTTTTAAAATAATTATATTTATGAATTTAGCAGTAGCAAAGGTCAATTTATAAAAGAATATTAAATGTTTATTCCAAGTTTAAACTTCTAGTAATAAGTTTCAAAATATAAATAATACACAAAATAATTCATAAAAGACAAAAGAAACAAATCAGTTAGTTATTAGTTAATTTATATAGTTATTATTATAACTTATTAATTCGGGTATTTACATCAGTATAATTAGAATTTCAAAATTAAATTTTTTGATTCGTCAAAAGAAAAGAGATAATATTTTCTAGATTGATATAAAGAATAAACAAGTCCATATATTAACTATCAAAAATGAATTGTCATAATTCAATAAAATATTTCATAATATAGTAGAAGCCACTTATTAGGAAAATTTTTCAACCAAGGTGATATATGTCAATTAACTGATTGATCTTATTTAGTTTGAAAAAATGTATAATTAAAAAAAAAAATATCTATTGTGAAGAAAAAAAATGTAAATGCCATGTAAAACATGTGTTTAGCATTGTCCATTTTTTTGAGTCGAATAACTTGATGAACATGATTTCGTAAGAATAATGTTCCCCAAAGCCTTTATCATCCGCATGATACTGTACTGTTCTCCTGAGGACACTTAGAGCTTCTATAATATAGCTTTACTAGATGAGGGTGCCTCGCTATTTTCTTCTTCGTTGTTAGTGTCAATATTTTCTTCTGTTGGATTCTCTGCAACCCGAGATGTAAGTCCACATCGATCCAATCTTTCATATACATTTTCCAAGAGTTCGATTAGTTTCGATCGTCATGACATAAAACAATGTACATTGTAATTACAGTACATTGGTTATCACCAAATAACTGGAATTCGTCATCGACCTTGGCCCTAAATGCTATAAATAACCGATGTGTTGTTTCAATAAACCGATTGATTTGAATGTTTTAATATACGGTCAATCCGTCCCCAAACTTGTGTATCAACAATAAAATTTTATCAATAATCCGTGTTCCTAATAAGTGACATTTACTGTATATATGTACAGATGTGATGTTTATTTTTCAATGAATAAAAAATAGTTCCTGTATAATTTAAATAATAAAAAGTAAATTTCCAATATGGTAACATATACTAAATACATATTAATATATGTTTAAAAGGATAGGTTGTATTAAAACGAGATAAGTTCGTATAAAATAAATTATAGTCAAAAAATAACAAATAATGAGACTCATCTAAAAAAAAAAAACTGAATTTATTGTTCAATTTAAGTAAATTTAACCTATCCTTTTTCTAACTTCTTATCAAAGGTTATCAATTTTCATTGGTATTCTAATTGGGCGATTACATAATTACGTCCGTACATCAATATTATCGAAAACGCAAACAATATAACTGAAAAGCAAGTTATGTGGAAGTCGTAAAATTTCTAATGACTGAATTGACAATTGTACGCAACATCATTTAATAACGGAGAAAACATTACAAAGAGAGAGCATTCAAAATCGATTGATCACACCATTACGATTAAATATAAATGACGTTGAGTAAACACGCACTAGTGCGCAAAAATTATTTTCCTAAACGTGATATAAATAGTGTATTATTTTTATTATATCTCAATAGAAAGAATTTCAAAATTATATAATATATATGAAATTTCAAACATAATATTATGCTTGGATGAGAACGCGACATGAGTAACTTTAATTCATAAATTCGTGTAGGTTTACCGTCAAAACAGTAAATTCATGCGCACACTATTCGTATAATTGTATATTTTTCGAGCACCATGCCGAAAATTTAATCTCCTGCTGAATTATCAGCCGCAGTTTCACAAGTTTACCACCAAACTTCACCCCTTTATACAGAAACCATATAAAATCACACATTCCTCCGTCAGGCGAAACAACTAAGTTCGTGAGACAACAGCCTTAAAATAATATGAGAGATATGTTCAGGAGTCTAGATACCAAAATCGGATAAAGATGGTACGTAATAATGGTTTGATGATTTATTACCTCGAAAAAAGTATTTTCTGATTACTTTACGAATAGTAGTAATAATAACTAACATTGCATGGCGTAATAGAATTTATTTCAGTGATCAGCCATACTTGTTATAGATAATTAGTTAATTTAGAGTAAGATGGAGTACCTGCATAGAATTTAATAATAATAATTTTATTTATTCTAATATTTAGTAAAATGCAGATAATAATAATTGTAAATCTATGAAGTATACTACACAGGAGAAAGATTTTATTATGAGTGGAAAGTACGCGTGATGCAAGTCTTTGAGATTCAGCACTCGATTAAATTATTAACTATGGTGCACTTAAGGAGATATTGACGACAAATGTTTTGAAACACGTCACCGAATAGCACAATTTTTTCAGACGAATAATAAATATAACGAAACAAAAATAGATGGTCCAGTCTCGTCACGTATTGACACAACAAGTACGCGTATGAAGTTTAATATAATATGTCAGTAATAAGATGAAGCTACAGGAGGGTTCAGCCGTCTTCAAAGATTAATTTTTATAGTGTGAATATATAATAATATTTAACTAGTGTTGGTATTAAACGTGGGATGTTGTCTAATATGAATGTATGTGTATTGTTATTTTAGCAATTATGCACCAAGAAATAATAGAAGCCCTTCCCCTGACTCATAATCTTTGCAACTCACTGTAATACATAGTTGGGTAGAAACGAATGACAAATGTGACCGCGCGTACAGTAAAACATATCACCAAATGCATGATGCATTGCAGCAGAAACGGGTGTACTCTTTCGCTTGAAAAATAGCTTATTATGATTATTTGTTTAAAGTCAAAGCCTTGGCAGGTGGACTATAGTTTAGTAGTTACCAATTAATTATTTAATTATACGAGTAATTATTGTTTAAATTTTCAATAATATAATACATATAAATATATACAGTGGTGTATTTATATATCTTCCAAGAGGAAGATAATAAATAATATAAGATACCAAATAAATATATTTAAATATATCATATATATTTGCCTGCAGACGCATGCGTAAAAAAATATTTTGGGGGTTTTTGGTTGTACATTTTCATACATGTATGATCTATATACCACTTTTACTCCATAAAAACATATTTAATAACTTTCCTGAATTTCTGGAGAGGGTGAACCCCTAACCCTCCCTTGTGTGTTCATCTGCTTGTTTCTATCGAATAATAACAAAACACACGGAGAATCTGGCCCCACACTCAAAATATGCCATCGAATATTTATACACACACACACACACACATATATATATATATATATAAAATTGAATTTATATAAATATAATACAATTGAAAATAAACGTAAAACTAATTAGTACAGAGCAATGTCTTTAGAAAACTGTTTAATTCGTTCGATGTTATTCAATTCATTATTATTGTCGTGCATGTTAAATCGAACTTACCACACCACCGCCAGCCGAGTGTAGTATCAGGCTACTGCCAGGTTTGACGGCGCCTAACTCGAATAGTAGCACGTAGGCAACGATGTAGTTGGTGGCCAAGGCCGCGGCATCCACGAAGTTCAGGCCCTCGGGTATGGCGAACACATTCTTGGCCGGCACGGCCACGAGCTCGGACCATGCGCGCCATTCGGGCAACGCAACGACGCGATCGCCGATCTGAAACACGACACGAAAATTATTATTATACATATTAATACAATCATCGTTGTTAAGACGGGCACGTAGAAGACGTTACATAATATTAATAAAAAGTATTCAACAAGAAAAAAAATATATTCGTTTTTCGAATTATATATACACGTAGTATCTTACCTTCCCTAGAATGTATAATAATAATACTGATGTTTTTGTTATAATTATTTAGATAGTCGATTTGCACGTGGGAGAACTTCTTTTTTCGTTATATAATAATCAACATAAAGAAACTGGTTGTCGGACAAAAAAAAAAAAAAAATTAAATATAGAAAAGAGTATTTTTAAGAGCACTGTGGGCAATAATTATACAAGAAGAGGCGAGAGAAGTTAAATCCTCTTTAGAATTTCATATTTTTTTATGAATATTATCAACAACATTAATTTAGTTTAGATATAGGTATCAACTTATTCTTATACATTTTAAAAACAAAATATATTATCTTAAATTTTGATCAAAACATAAGAATATTTATTTACCATCATATAAATGATCTACACGTTCATTACTTAAAAAAAATGTAATAGTAAAATTTGTTTTAATTATGATAAGGGTTCAAAACGCGTGTAAAAAATATAAAAGTGGTTAAAGAATTCAAATCTTGTGAAAGACAAGTGTAATATTCGTGTAATAAATGAAAAAACGGAAACTCGAATACCATAATTGTGTAATTTCTATGTTAATGAATCAGGCCATCAAAGCAGACTAGTCATCGAGTCATAATTTTATAACATTTTAACGGAATTGCTAGTTTTTCCTTCAATGTGGTGGTGGTGGCATCACATGCAACCGATACCCATTTCCAGATCAAATTACTAACTACATCACCGAAGCGACAAGTATAATATATATGTATATCAACATCGTCTTGTTAACGATTTGCATCTGTTACATTACTAGCACCGCATAAATCTTTTTTGTCGACGTACCACACGATGATACATGCGCATAGCTACTACATTTGTAAAATTATATTGCATCATATTTATATTTTTGTTTTCCACTGATTACATCCATTTGTCACGATTTTGAACGAATGAAGTTTTCAACATCGTATCGTATAAATCGATATTTGTCAATCGATGCGATGGAAAGACACATAGCAATTAGCATTATTTAACAAACAACACAACTCTAGAGTAAAAACGTAGCTGGAAGGACAAGAACAATAATATCGATTCGGTCGTACTTAATTCGTTTCATCAGCGGATATTATCAAGTATAAAATGTATGTATAATAATATGAATAATAACATTGGACCACCATTGAGAAATTTATAGGTGACGGGTGTGTACATCCGATTAAATAATTAAACCCAATAAGGTTCAATTATCGTCATTATTAACACATTGTTGCAACATTCTTGTGGTCCGAGCAGCCCGCACACGTGTGACGTATGTGCTCCCACCGCCATCTCACAAGTGTCTTCCGCGACATTTATATTATATATGTACTATACACGTATTATTTAAACGACAAACGAAGGCGACCGCGATAGCATTTCCTCTCTTCTCTTCAACAAAGTATCATAAAAAACGGTCAATTAAAAAAAAAAATTGTTTTTTCACTCTTCTTAAATTATATTGACCGCGACGACGACGTCCACATCACGCGCGCGGTCGGTATAATCCGTACATTAAAGCTTCGATGCGGGTTACAGAATAATTATTATTATCTGTAACATGCTACATGCACTGCACACACCAGACCCTCCTTACATGTGAGTGTGCGCGTGAGTTATATTAACACGTCCGTCACTTAAGAAAATATCCGTCGGTGGTCACGTTAGCAATGCCACTAGAGGTCTGGTTGATAACATACATTGTATTCATATTATCCATCACAGACGATTCCATTGAAAGCACATGATATTATATTATAAGGTCGTCATCGCCGTTCCGTACCTTCAACACTACTTATTTTTACATAATGGAGACCGCCTTAGAATACGAATATAAACTTGTCCCTTTTGACGGTCGTGCATGTTATTATAGAACGACACACGGTTGATATCAAGCGACAAGTTTATCGGACCGCGATGAACTATGATGTGGGAAGTGAATCTAAAATTTAACCCCGTTGATCATTTTTCATTATTATTTATTTAATTTTTTCCATACGCCTCTTTAATCTTTCAACGGAACGTAAATACGATATACGAGGCATACCCGTATAGAGGTATAGATGATGTACTCTGTACATGTGACGCGCAGGATGCAAGACCGACGTTCCGACCGACGAAATAGTTTAAACGAAGCAAAGTTAAATTGTACACACACATACCACATTTTTTGCTCGTGTATCAAGTGACTTGCATATACAAGATATTATTAATATTAATCTTTTTCAAAAACTCGGGTGAGCGATGACGACGATATTATTTTCGTTTCATTATTAATTTGTTTATTACCATTATTTGACACTGGGAAATTGAGTGCACTCTGTACAGAATATATAACAATAAAATTCAAGAACACTAGAAAAACGACACCTACGGAATCGTAGTAAAGTTCAGTACATCCGATATATACAGAAATAATAAACTGTATACAGTATATATGTTACGAGCAAAGTATACAATTTGGACATTTTATACAATGCCCGGGCATTTTATACATTGTCACATTGTCCGGACAGTATATAAAATGCCCTTCGTATATTGGGCAATATAGATCACAGATGATATGATTTAATGAAATATGATAAATCAATGAATAACGACATGTATTTATATTATTGATTAATTCATCTCAGTAGATATAATTGATTGCACCACCAATCCTTTCTTGGCTGTGCTTCCTTTTCTTTTACATGATTTGCAACTATTTAAGTATAGCATAATCATATCTCTGATGATATTTTTATATTTTGTATTTACCTCATGTTCCATCCTGTTTCGTTCATCATGTCTAATCGATAAATGAACCTTATCTACAACATCAAATAACTCTATTATGTACATAATATTTAATTTCGTTGTTTTCAGATACTGGTACAATTAACTTATTAACATCAGAAACTTTTAACACGTCATATTTTTTTAAAAGTTTATAATTATTCGGTTCCTTTTTCTTTGAATTATTTTGTAAATGAATTTCATGTAAAATTAATTGATCAAATTTTAACCTGGTAAAAAATGAAGTATTTGAACCTTTTTTTTTAACAAATTGTTTAAATCTTCATTAAACTTTTCCATATTCGAATATGTAGTTAGGTACGCACTGAATGAATTAACTTGCACTATACAAATGATTCACGATTACTAAATAGTTCATTTTTGAGAAAAGGTAAAAAGCCGACAGCACGATAATCACTACAATTTCATATAATATAACTTATAATTCAGTAAATATAGTAATAATATATTATGTCACGTACACCCGTATAATATGTGGACAAGCGGACATCCCCATTGTAAAAATACGATAAGAACAAACAAACTAGTTACAGGTAATAATTTGACTTTATTTTAACTATGTTTCACGATTCATCATATTTCATTAAATCATATCTTTCGTTATCTATATTGCCCAATATACGTAGGGCATTTTATATACTGTCCGGACAATGTATAAAATGTCCAAATTGTATACTTTGCCGGTAACATATTTAACGACATGCAACACATGGTCGTGGGTTATGAATCACTGTGGTAATAATAATATATAATTTATAAGCTTCTCGTTTTCGCACGCAGCCGAGATTTTACTCACCTTGAACTTTTCAACGCCTTCTCCGACTTGTTCGATCACGCCAGAACATTCGAAACCCAATATGAATGGAGCTTTGGGTAGAGATTCAATCGCACCTTGTCTGGCCATAAGATCTTGGAAATTCAAACCACTAGAAACAAAAATAAAACATGATTAAATAATTTTTTTTTAGAAATTCCACGAATAGAAATTTATTTACATAAATAAGCTATAAATTTCAACGGTATTTCTTTAACGGAAGAAAATGAACGTGAACCCCGCGCACGCTTTATCGTCATCCAACGAGTATCGTGCAATTTATCGAAAAATTGAAATGATAATTTATAAATCGCATTCACATAAATTACTGTTACTAACGATTGTTTGTAACAGGTTTGTACACCAATCTTTTACACTAAAAATAAATGCCGTTTTAATTTGACTTAAAACCAACCACGACACAAATTCTTTACAATACTATGTACCAAACAGTTGATATCAATGGGTTGATTATAAGAACTCCTATATTTACGAACCCCGTTACAAAACACCATAGAAAGTGTAGCAGGTTATAGTTTTTCGAGACTTTTTAGAATCTTTTCGGACAGACCGATAAACGAATATAGAAAAGTGGGGGCTTTTTTGACGAAGACATAAAAACCGTGTAAACAGGGATAGGTGTGCAGTACTAACCGTGTACAAAACGAAACGTCTACAACAACAATAAACTACAATCTGAATAATCTATACACACAACAGTAACAATACGATAGACACGGTACATGTCCAGTGATCCAATTGTAAGTGCGGTCACGAAAATGGGTTTTTTCGTTCTTTCAATATTCTAAAAGCCTAATACACTTAACGCGACGCCCGTCGGCGTAGGTGCGTTGCTGCTGTACACAATACACACAAGACGAGCAGTGCTCCAAAGCCTCGACGGTTGGGAATCGCACGTAGAGCGGTACGGGGTGGTGGTGGACTTGCCGTCCGGAGAGGAGGCGGCGGCGGCGACAATCAACATCGACGCGTGTAATCGGATTTTAAAAGCATTGGCATTGCGCGCCGGATGCCGTGTCGCCGTCGCGGTGCCAAACACAGCCACACCCCGCACGCGGCGTCGAAGGGCTGCAAGGCCCG